TATGCAGCCAGGGTCAAAGAGGAGAAATCTGACAGGCCCCAGCTCAAAGCTGTGTGGAAAAACAACAAGAGAATAAATAAAATTGATTGAAATTGTTCAGCCCCAGTCACCTGTGCAGGAGTTCAGCCAAAGTCCAGAGAGGATCCAGCATCCTGAGCAGCCACTGCCAAGGTGGGACAACATCCCAGCCAGGGCAGGGCATCCTGGCCAGAGTAGAGCATCCCTGCCAGGGAGAGCATCCTGGGCAGGTGCACACATGACCCACCAGTGAGGGCCGGGCAGGCAGAGCTGGGCGCAGTTAGCCCAGAAGTTGCAGCAGGGTCACCTTTGGTATCGCAGTGCTGCACAGTCCTCGTTCTGCAACAGGAGCAGTATCTCATTTCTTCCTCAATTAGCTCCTGATTATCAGTGTCCCAGGGCCCCTTTCCAGTCTCTGTTTAATGCACCATTAATAATTCATTTCTCAGATAGCAAGAACGCAGCGCGAGGTTAGGGCTTTGTGACTAATAAGTACCAGAGCAACCCTCTTCTCCAAGGGACAAATGAAGGGAACAAAAATAAAGTGGAAGAATCAAAGATAATATGTTTTGTGGCCTTTAATCAAACACTGGATAAAGGGTTTGATTGCTCAGGTGAAGAACACACACGCACAGCCCTCCTCAGTGGCCGCAGGCTTCTGGGCTCCCACGCTTCACCAGCACCATCCCCATCCGACTGCCTTCCCTGGCACAGAGGGAAACTGAGGCACCTCAAGGCAAAACTGCGGCTGGCCCACACTGCCCTCCTCCCAGGGTTGGGGGTTTAGGTGGCTGTATCTTTCCTCAAGCTGGAAAATCCCAGGACCAGATTTCCCGGTGCCCGGCAGAGCCAGCGCAGCCGCCGAGGAGCCGCACGCGCTCTGGCAGCTGCACATTAAGTGTGACGGGTTTCTGACAGATCCAATTATAAAGCCAGGTCTCAGCAGAATTGCAGCCCTGAGATCTAGTGCATGAAATTTTGTTTGGGAATTTTCGGATATTGTAGCTTGTGCTGCGGGTCCCCACAGGCCCCAGACTGTGCCAGCATCTGCCAGCTACCCCTGGGTCTCATCCCCACCATGCTGAATCCCCTCCCTGCCGCATCCTGCCAGTGCCCAGCCTGAATAGAGTCACCTAAAAATGGCAAGAAGGAGAGTGGCTGCCCCCAGTAAGGCTGAGGAAGGGAGGACCTGCAGACCCCCACTCTTCTGCCCCACAGAGAGGTGCCCTGGCCCTGGGATTTACCCTGTCCTTGCACAGCCACTTGGACCATGCACAGGCTACAGGCTATAAATCACTCACCTCCCAGTAGCTGAGGATCTGCCCAGTCCTTTCCGCACAGTCCTCAGGGCGTTATTTTTAGCCCTTTCCTAGAAAAACGAGGTGGGCACACGTGGTGGTCCTGTCCTTGGCTGACCAGGGACTTGGCTGCCCTGGGAATGCTCCTCAGAGGAAAGTGGCCAAGAAACCTCCAGGGACCAAGAGACCTGAGCCAGTGAGGACACAGGGATGTGAGTCCAGAGCTCCCGTGGCGCTTTGGTCCAAAGAGACATTGAGTCTCTGTGTCAGGCAGAGGGCTGCCCTGCCCCAGCCAGAGCTGTAGAAGCTCATTCCATCAAACCTCCTGGATTAGGGGGTTTGTTTTATTTTCTTTAGGTGACTGAGAGCGCAGTGCTGTGCCCCAGTGCTGACGGGGGACCTTGGGGTTGCAGATGGGCAGGAAGCTTGGGATGAACACTGGCAGCCTGCAGCACCACCACCATCAGATCAGAGATGCATCACTGGCCCCTGGCTTGGGAACCTGGGAGCTGTTGGGAAAACAGATTTGCTTTTACACCCTTGAGGCTGTTCCATCCTCTACCATCTGCAGCTGAGCCCAGACTGGCAGGCGCAGCCAGGAGGACAGTGCTGGGGTGGCTCAGTGGCTGGGGGGGGCTGGATTCTCCCCAGTCCCAGCTTTTGTGCCCTCCTGTGGGCACCCAATGAATGGCTGCAGCCCCCATCCCCAAGCCCAGATGGCCCCTGTGCCCTGGCACCTCACAGTTGGGCAGTGGGCAGGTGGGATCCCCCCAGGCACAGGCTGCAGTGGGTACCTGAGTGTCATGCAGCAGGGAAACCTCCCCAAGCCCCCTGGACCAAGCAGCCCCTGGTCTCGGCATCCTCATCCCTGTGCCCCCGCAGTGCCCTGGGCACGTGCCTCGCTGTGCCATCAGTTCATCTGGCATCACCCGCCACATGTCAGGGAACTGTTTTAACTTAAGCAGAATAAACCTGCAGTGATTGTATTTCCTGCCTCCCTCTCGGGGCACGAGGGAAATTGTTTGATGCTAATCCCCTTGTTTAATCCACCAGCATCCTGACATGCGAACAGTCAGGATTAACTCCTGGCGGGAATCGTTCGAAGTGCGGCTGTTGGATCAGGACAGGGATGTCCCCACACAGGCTCCGATGTGCTCCTGGCAGCAGAGGACAGGGGATGCAGGAACAGTGGCTTCTGGTTTTCAGGATCAAATTCCTCCACCACAAGCACTTTTCACCAGACTGGAATTTCTCCTGGTACAGAGAGGGAGGCTCCAGCTGTCCTGGGAAAGGTCACCTCAGGGGCTGATGTGCTCCCAGGCTCAGGCACAGATATTGTGTGATAGCCAGATTTTCAGATGTGCCTGGGAAGCAAAATTCAGTCCCCATCCCCCTCACCCATAATGCGACCAGGCTCATCCCGCTGCTGCCTAGGCCAGAGCCATGGAGCAGGATGGAGCCTCCTCCAGGGCAGGGCTCCCAGCCCCGGGCATTGCTTTGATAAACGTGCCTGGGATCCTGCTCTGGCTGCTCTGTGCCCTCCTTGATGCAGACCTGCCCTGGATTTCGAGTTTCAATTTGTCTGACTTTATCTTCCAGCCTCAGTTCTCATTATTCCTCTCTCTGCCAAGTTAAAGAGTCCTTTAATACCCAGCGGTTTTCTGCCCAGGAAGGTACTTGCACGCTGTAATCAAGTCACATCTCAGGCTCCTTCCCGATAAGTCAAACAGGCTGAGCTCTGAGTCCCACTAAATACCAGCCTCGGGAAAGAGCCAACCAGAGGCACTGCCAGGCAGAGGAGCCTGAGGTTTCCAAGCTGGTGCCTTGAGAGGGGAATCGGTGCTTTCTGACGCACTGATGACAAATGAAGTGAGCTGTGAAAAATAAATCGCTGCATTGCCCTGACTCCGTGAGCACATCTGGCCACCGGGGGTACAGGGAGGTGCTGGGGGGCAGAAGGCCAGGGGGGCTCCCGGGGCTGTGCCCATCCTGGCAGCCTGCAGACCAGGGGAGAACCCCTTCACAGTGCTTCTGCCAGCAGAACTTGCTGCAGCAGCTGTTTGCTGCGGGGCTAATGGTGCCCATCTCTGCTTACGGGCAGTGAGTTATGACGGCCGTAACGTAAGTGCTTCGGGCAGCTTGAGATAAGACAAGGTGCTACAAGCCACAGACTTCTTCCAGGCTGGGGAGGCAGGCTCTGAAGGATGCTGGCCTTGAAGGATGCTGGCTCAGAAGGATGCAGGCTCTGAAGGATGCCAGCCCTGAAGGACACTGGCCAAGGTCGCAGCACCGATCGCTGCAGCTCGGCTGCTCCCTGCTGCCAGGCCCAAGGTGACTGAGCCCCTGGGAAGGAGAAGCCAGATGGGGCTGGAATTAAAGCAGGGACACAGAGGGAAGAGCTAGCAGAGGGTGGATACAGGCCCACTCTCAAAACCCACAGAGTCCCACAGAGAGGTGCTGTCCTGGCCCTGTATTTTATGGGGTCAGCTGCACCCCCTCAAAAAGGGGCAAGTTTGGATCAATGTTGCAGAAACTCTGTTTTGGAGCACCCAGGTGGACAGCCAGATCCATCAAGGCTGGGGAGAGGTTGCACCACCCACTGCTGCAGGTACACACTGGGGTAACTCACAGCCTGGATTCTCCAAGCACAAATCAGGGCAATTTGAGCTGAGCAAAACGATCTGAGGTCCCTGAGGGAGGGATCTTGCCTGGGGAGCGGGAGGAGAGGCCATCCCATCCCACAGAGAGCTACAAATAACTCAAATGCCCTCATTACCCAGTTTCTGGTGAACAGGAGTTCGGTTTCGTGGTTCCCCCGGGGCTAGTTCCACCTGAAAACGGGCTACGAGTGCCTGACACTGCGGGAGCCTCTGGCACCAAAGTCAGGCAGGAGCAGGACACTGGTCCCTGCACGTGTCCTTGCCCTTCTGCCGCTCCCCGCCACCCCCGGAGCCAGCCGTGACCCGCCGAGCATCCGCGCTGTTCACCGGCGTGGGGGCGTCCCTGGGCCGGCGCTAACACGTGTGGCCGGATCCCGAGGGAAAGGACAGAGGCGGAGCGGCAGGTGCGAGCACCGCAGCCCCCCCGGTACCCGCCGGAGCATCCCCCGGCCCCCACCGCAACATCTCCCGGCTCCCCGGGCATCCCCCAGTCCTCCCCGGATCATTCCCCGATTCCCCGATCGCCCCCCGGTCCCCGCGCATCCCTCGGCCCGGCCCGGGGCTCCCTCTTGCGACCGGCGGCGGGACAGCACGTGCGGGCGCAGGGTTCGGGGCTGCGCAACCCGGTACCGAACCCCCCTCGAGGCCGGCCCGGTCCCGGTCCCGAGTCCTGCTGCAAGTCCCGCGGCTCACCCAGCCCCTGGGTGGGATGCAAAAGGCTTCCCAGAGCGGCCCAGCTGGGACAGAGGGGACCCCTGGAGCCCCGCGGGAACCCCTAGGGCTGTCCCGGAGGGGTTTAGGGTCGTTCCGTGCGGCGAGAAGTTTCAGTTTTAGGTGGGTGGGGTAGTATCGGGACAGCCCCACAGATACCACTGTCCCCTGGGGACCCTGTGCTGCTGGCATGGGGTGTAGTGGGGTCTGACTCTCCAGCAATGAGGGATCTGGCTCTGGTGCAATGTCCTCCCCCTCAAACCCACCTGTGCCCAGCCAGCTCTCACCATGAGTGACGCTGCCAATGTGCCACTTCAGTCCAGTGTTTTTAATGGAGACCCACCAAATTCACAAATCAGAGCAGAGAAGCACTGAGCCATGTCCTGGGCCCAGAGGAAAGGGCTGGTAATCCTGGCAGGGTTGCAGAGATCCCCCTGAGTCTGCAGTGCGGGGGGCAGGAGGGGAAGGCAGGAGCATGGGGAACAGTGAAGGGTTCAGGTGGTTTTCTATCCCAGTGTCTCATCATTTCTGTGTGGGTGCAGCAAAGCTCCTTACGTAGGCACAGGCTCCAGTGAGGCATGTGCTGCAGCAGCTTGGACCAGCAAGGAAGAGAGGAATGAGCCATGGCTCTCTGTCCAAGGGTTCCACTGTCCCTGAAGGTGCCCTGTGAATAGTCCTCTTCTGGACAGAGCCTTTGCTAGAAGGACAGGCCCTGGGTGTCAGAGCAGTACTCCAGGTAGTCAAACTCCTTGATGGGGAATGTCACTGTGCTCCACTTCTTGTACCTCCTCTTCTCTGCCGGTGTCTTCACCACGAAGTTTTTGATGGAGAGGATGGGCAGCTTCACCTGGCGGTACAGCATCTCCATCCCCCAGTCCTGTGGGGGCAGGGAGGGGACAGTCACACAGCCCACACGCAGCATCCCCAGGCTGCAGGGTCACACATGCAGGGGTGGGGCAGCTCCTTGCTCCCAGGGCACATCCCCCTTTGGAGACAGCCTGTGTCCATGTCCCCCAGCACACATGACAGGAGCGTGTGCAGGGGGGAAACAGCTCCATTGCTCAGCCGGGAGCTGGGGCACAAGGCACAGCCCTTCCCGCCCCTCCAGCTCTGACTGGGCTGCAGCCCCAGGGGAATTGTGGTGCTCACCTGGCTGCACTCACTGCAGGAGATACGGCAGCCGGGCTCCCAGTCCTTAAAAGTCCGCTGGAACTGTATTTTCCCAGAGGAAACTCTGTAATACAACCTGCAAGGAAGGGCCCGACAGACACTAAGGACAATGGTCCAGGGGACACAGACAGGGCAGCACAGGCTGTAGTCACACAAAGTCCCCGTGAGCTCCCTTGACCGAGCTCCCAAGAAAGAGCCCACAGCAGGCTGGTGCCACTCCTGCCCATCTGCCTGCTCACCCCTGCCCATGCCAGGCTCCTACCCGAAGTTGGGGTTGACGTTGACGTGGTGTATGCCCTCCACGGTGCGGATGTCGCTGCCGCGGCACACGGCTGTGCCACAGCTGACACAGTGCAGGTAAACAGTGTCCGGGTCGTGCAGCTGCTGCCGCTCCCTGATCCTGGCCTCCTTCATCAGGCAGGTGGCTACGGCCACCCGCTGCAGCTCCTGGATCTGCAGAGGGCAGGGACGACAGGGGTCAGTGCAGGGCTGCAGGCAAGGACAGATGGCAGAGATGACAAGATCCAGAGCCATGGAGCGATGCACCATCCCAGGAGCACAAGCCACAGGGCAGGATGGGAGACACATGTTGTCCCATGCCCCTCACACAACCCCATCCTAGGAGCTGGTGCTGCCCTGGGGCAGAGCAGGCAGCCAAACTCAGGGTGTAGAGGCAGGCACAAGCTGCCTGGCCCTCCCAGTGCCCAGGGTAGAGCCTAACACCCACCTTTTGGCGGTACTCCTGCTCGGGCATGGCTTGCACTGCCTGGATTGCCCTCTCCATGAGCTTCACCAGGTCCTCGTTGAGCAGCTCTCGGGACACTTCTTTGCTGTTGGCTTTGGCGAGGACGGAATAGACACTGTTCTCAGCACGGGCACGGCCTCGGGCCTGAAGTGCAAGGGGCCAAATGCTTCAGTCAGCAGAGGAGGGACATGACCGGCCCCTCCGTGTCACCCTGTGAGGATGGAGCCACCTCTGCCCTCCCCTGTGCCTTGCCAAGCAGGTGTTCTACCAGGGGCTGAGCTCATCCCCAGGGCTCTGTCAGTGGTGAGGAATGAAAGAACCCCCATGGCTTTGGGGCATCCCAGCAAGGGCCAGAGGAAGCCCAGGCAGCACCTGCATCATGGCAATCTCGTTAGTCATCAGCCCATAGCGGACCACAATGTTGCACTCAGGGATGTCCAGGCCCTCCTCGGCCACGCTGGTGGAGAAGAGCAGGTTGAGGGCTCCCTCACGGAACTGCTTGATCACATCTTGCTGTTCATTCTGAGGGGACAGGGGTGATGCTTCAGCAGCTGTGCAGGGCTCTGAGGCCCTCACAGCACGCACAGCATCCCCAAAACATGAAGAGTGGGGTCCTGCTCACCCTCTGCTCACCTGTGTCATATGCCTGGTCTGGTTGCTGTAGCCAGCGCCGGTGAGGACAGCAGCCCTGATGTGTTGCCCACGGAGCGTGGCCGTGCCCTGCAGCCAGCTGAGCAGACTGTGGGCACTCTGCCGTGTCTTGGTGAAGACGATGCCACGAGAAGCACCCAGGGGCTGGAAGTGATCCCGCAGGATCTCCTCCAGCTTGCCCAGCATGGGGTTCTCATAGCGCTGGTCCCCGGCAAGCGCCTGCAGGATCTCCCTGTTCTCTGTGCAGGCAAGAGGGGTGTCAAGGGGACTCCCCGTCCCCCAAATGCAGCCAGCACCACTCCCCTGCAGGCCCCTCTGTTACCCTCAAACATGGTGGTGAGGAACTGTTCGGTGGGGTCCTTTACATCCCTCTCAGTGCTGTAGAACTGCTGGAGGCACTGGAAGGAGTCGACCATCCGCACGGTGTCGTTGATCAGCAGAGCGTCGTTGTACTTGCGCAGGTGCAGGGCACACGCCCGAGTCTTGCGGCAAAACATCTCCGAGGCTGGCAGGGCCGGGGGGCACCATGGTCACAGCCCGTCCCCGCGGCTTGGCCCCACCACACCCACACTGCCGCCCCCTCACCTCTCTTCTCCAGCTCCACAATGCGCTGCTCGTAAGTCTGCGTGCCGAAGTCCTGTGATGAGTGCAGCATCTCCATGTACTGATGGATCTGCTCCATCACTTTCTTCAGCCGGTCGCCAAAGGGGTCCTGGGAGCAGGGAGGGGCTCAGGACCCAGAAACTGTAGCTGTTTGCATAGCGGGACCTGGACAGTTGCAGGATCCCCCGGCACCAAAGCTCTGGGTCAACTGATTCCTCTCACTGGCCTGAGCGAAGTGGACAGAGGGGTGCAGCCCTCCCACTCAGCAGAGCTTGGGGGGTCTCATCTTCCACCCAGCAAGCAGCCCCATGGCTCTGAGCACCTGTCCCTCACCTGTGTTCTCTCCTGGCACAGGTCATACTGCTTCCTGGGTTGTGGGATGTGGCTCTGCAGCTGCTGCACCTCCTCCTGTGCCGACGTGATCTTCTCAGTGTCCAAGTTGGCACAGATCTGAGAGGCAAAGACCCCACTTCCAGCCATAAGCCCAGCAGCCCAGGACAATGCAGCATGTGGTGCTTGCTGACACTCTGGCAAGTTTAGGAATGTTCCCCTGGTCTGCCCAGCACCTGAGCATCAACCCCCATTACAAGGAATATCCTGCTGTATCCCTGGGGAAGCTGTGCCAACACAGGATGGGGGGCACAGGACCCACCTGCAGGATGTGCTCTACAGCCCCCTCAAAGGAGGTTGCCCCCCCAGTGCCAGGGGACGCTGTCAGCCCCAGGACTTGTGGCAGGTCCTGCTGCCCACTGAGCTTGCCCTGGAGATATCTCAGCATGATCTTGTTGTAGACAGAGTCCTTGTGCGTGTGATGGCACTCGTCTATCACCAGCAGTGAGAAATCTGTGCCAGACCAGGGAGGGGAGTGGGGTGAGATGGGGGCTCAGTTGGGGGCCCAGCCAGGGTCTTGGGACCAGCAGGATGTGGGATCCAACACCCACCTGTCAGGTCCACCTGCATGTCCTCTTCAGTGCTGACCAGTGCATTCTGCAGGATCTGGGCTGTGCAGATGACAACGTCACTCTTCTTCACCAGGTAGGCAAAGAAGACCTTGTGGGTGGTGTCCCCGCTGATGGACGTTACCTTGAAGGTGTCCTGCAGTGTGTGGAACTCCTTCTCGACGTGCTGATCCACCAGGTGCACCTGCGACCACAGGACCCTGCTCAGCGCCTGCCGGGACCGGCACCCGCAGCTCCCGCTGTCCCGGGGCAGGGCAGCACCTTGTTGACCAGCACGGCCACCTTGCCGCCCCGCCGGCTCTCCAGGTGCCGCCGGCAGACGTGGACTGCAACGCGGGTCTTCCCGGCGCCCGTGGGCAGCCAAACGATGCTGTTGCGGCCACGCAGGGCCGGGGCCGCCGCCTCCCGCTGGTACCCCCGGAGCTCCATCCCCCGCCGGTCCGAGCCGTGCCGCTCCGGGCCCCGCCGTCCGTGCCTCGCAGCCGGGACCAGCCGGGAAACGAAACTGAAGGCGGTGCGTCCTGCCGGTCCCGGCGGGGCGGGGCCCAGCCAGGGGTGTCCTCGCCGGCCGCGCTGGGGCCAACCGAGCCGAGCCGAGCCGAGCCGCCCGCCCAGCCCGGGAACCCCCCAGCGAACCCCGGCTGCGAACCGAAACCGAAACGGGGCGCGGCTCCCACAGCCCCCCCCGCACCCCGACGGCCCCTGATCCCTCGCCTCTCCGCGACCCCGCGGCAGCACCGTGCACCCCAACCAGCCCCTGCACCGCAGCTCTGCCCAATGTATCCCAGCCCATCCGCGGGGCTCTTCACACTCTCCCCATCCCGAACTGTTCCTGTTCCCCTCCCCAGCACAAACACCCCCAGAACACCCCACGCTGTCCCCCCGCCCACCGCGCTGGGGGTGAGCCCCAAGGAGGGAGCTGGGGCTGCACAAGGACATTTATTATTAAAAAAAAAAAAAAAAAACAAACAAAAAAACCCGAAAAACCAACAAAACACCAGTCAAGTGGAATGGGGGTGAGTGGGGGGCAGGGAAGGGGAGGGAAGGGGCACAAGGAGGGAGGCGAGCAGAGGTGGCTGCCAGCCTGGGCAGAGCAGGGGGAGCAGAGGCCAGCACAGCACCAGGCAGCCCCCTGCCCTGGCACTCGGAGGGGCAGGACTGGGACTGGAAGCACACCCTACCCCTGGCTGGCAGAAAGGGCAGGGAGGATGTACAGGCAGGGACAATGGATGTACAGGCAAGGAGGAAGTACAGGCAGGGAGGGCAGACCTGCCCCAGGGGGAGGGAATAGGTGAGAGGCAGCAGGAGCTGGGGGTGCAGGGCAGAGCCCCCCTCCCAGCAGGAGCCTGGCCCAGGAGCAGCACCGCTGCGGGCAGCCCAGGCACAGGGCTGACCCCGCCATACATTCAACACAAGGGCAGGGTCTGCCTGTGCGTGGACGGAGCGGAAACCAAAGCACTTGTGTGCCCCTGCCCTGTCACAGGGAGCCAGGGCAGAAGGCAGGACCCCAGGGAGGAGGGACACACCAGGGTCGGGGGGGTCCTACACCCCAGGTTGAGGCAGGAACTCAGTGCTGCCCCTGCTCCTGGAAGATCCTGATGAGGTAGCTCCAGCCTCAACCCTGCTCCCTACAAGAGGCAGCCAGAGCATCTCAAAGTTAAAAGCACCAGCCCCACTGGCCTCCTCACCCCCCAGAAAGGAAGGTCCAGCTCCCCAGGCTGCTCAGCAGCACCAGTTCCTCCAGCAGCTCTTGCCCATGGAGTGGGGTGGGTCCCACAGGAGCCCTGTCCCTCCCAGTGGGTGGCTGGTGGCCATGGTAGGTCCAGGCCAGCCCCCCTACTTGTCGATGAGCCCCCCCTCCTTGAGCTTGAAGTAGAAGAACTTCTCCAGGGTGTTGGCACACTTGCAGTAGTCGCTGTCGGGCGGGTTGTACTCGCGGCAGTTAGTGATGATGCGCTGCAGGTCGGCGATGAACAGCTTCTTGGTGACATAGTAGCGGTTCTTCAGGCGCTCGGTCATGGTCTTCAGGTCTGGGGGTGGGGAAGGGTCAGGACCCCACCCCAGGCCTCTGCATCCCCAGCCACAGAGCTGGGCACCAAGCACGGATCCCAACTCATCCTTTCGTCTGCTGGGCTGTCCCGGGGCTCCCACCACCCCAAATGTGCAGCTCAGACCCCACAACGAAGGGGGGATATCCAGCCCCCCCACCATCCTGCCCCGGGGGACCTGACACAGCCACTTACCGATGGGGAAGCGGATGATTTCATAGTAGTCTGGTGCCTCTGACTTCTTCACTGGCTCCATGAAGGGCCATGCGCTGGGGTGGGTCTGGGGAGAGGCAGGGGGCAGTTAGAGCAGCGAGCATACACAGCCCCTGCCGACTCCAGCACACAGGGGTCCTGCTCCCCCTGCACCTGGGTCACCTCAGCAGCCCCTGAGGGCAGAGCCCTGCACAGCCCATCCCAGGGAGGCAGCTCTGAGGGCTATGAGGAGTCGTGCACCCCGGAGTGAGGGTCTCATCCTGCCTGCACCTTGATCTGGGCCAGGAGGTTCTTCAGGGTGTTGTAGAGTTGGTCCGGGTCCTTCAGCTCCTTCCTGCAGGACAAAGCCAGCACCTGTCAGCCTCTCTCCACTGCAGGGCCAGGCAGTGCCGGGAGCAAGGGGCAGTCCAAGCTCAGCCCCCAGCCCAGCTGCTGCAGGACGCCCACCCCCTCATGCAGCACTCACCCCTTCTCCTTCCCCAGTGGTTTCCATCCTGTTTCTCCTGGAATACAAGTGTCAGTGTCACCATGTCTGCCCTGCAGCCACGGGCAGGGAGGACGGAGCCCTCCTGTGAGACCCCCCCGCCAGGACTCACGGATGCCGGGGACGCTCTCAATGGGGATCTGCCGCACACCTTCCTTGAAGCAGGTGAGGCCTGGGTAGACCTTGCGGATCTGTGCCTGTTTCCTCTCTATCAGCTTCTTGATGATCTGCAGGGAAGGGGCGTTGGAAGGGGAGAGATAAGCAGGGGCTGCAGGGAGCTATACCGGGATGTGGAACCCCACAGACCCACCGCCCAGGGCCAGAGCCAACTCCAGCCACTGTCAACAACACCAGTGCTCCCTCTCTGCCCTGCAAGCCTGCTCCCAGGGCTAGCACAGCCCCACACCTCTCCCCTGCCTTCGGGGGGTGGCTGGCAGCGCCCACCTGCCCTCCTGCCCAGCCCTGGGCTATACCTCCTTCTGCTTCTTGATGATGTGGGAGAGCTCGGTGTAGGGGATGCGGGGGTTCAGCTCACACTCCATCAGGGTCGCCCCCTCATAGTCCTTGATGTAGCCCAGGTAGCGGCTCTTGGGGACCTTGATGTCCTTGGAAAAGCCCTAGGAGGGAGGGGACAGATGGGAGGGGGCAGCGGGGCAGCAGGGCTGGTGGGGGCTTGGCCAGGAGAAGGAGCCCACCTGCTTTTTGAAGTAGCCGATGGCGTACTCGTCCGCGTAGGTGAGGAAGTAGAGGATGTTGTGCTTGATGTGGTACTCCTTCAGGTGGTTCATCAGGTGCGTCCCATAGCCCTGGGGGAGCCGCCGTGAGACAGGGACCCCCCAGACAGCCCGAGTTGGGATGCACAGCCCCCCACCAGCATGGACATGGCAGCTGGAAGAGGTCCTGGAGCAACTACCACCATTTGGGGCTGGACAGTGGTGAGCAGGTCTGGCTGCCCAAGGGGCTGGGGCACCCCTACTCCATCTACAGCAAGACCAACCAAGTCATGCTGGGCTGCTGGGGACCCTCACATGCACCCATCCCTCTTCTCCCCGCTCTCACCTTCACTTGCTCGTTGGAGGTGACAGCACAGAAGACAATCTCCGTGAAGCCCTGGGTGGGGAACATGCGGAAGCAGATCCCCCCGATCACTCGGCCGTCCTTGATCAGTGCCAGGGTCTTGTGCTTCCTGCGGGCAGCACGGCCGAGGGTGAGGAGAGCCCCCCACACCAGCCCCCCCGTGCCCCTCAGCCACGCACGGGTCAAAGACGAGGCGAGTGATGTACTCCTTGGGCATGCGAGGCAGCTGGTGCGAGAAGACGTTCTGCAGCCCCACCAGCCACATCAGGATCTTCTTGTTGGACTTCTGTGAGAGGGAGTTGCCGATGACGTGGAACTCGATGATGCCGCGCCGCTCCTCCAGCCGCGCCGTCTCATCCCGCGCCGCGTTGGCCGACAGCAGGCTGGTCTGGGGGGGCGGGGTGGGGGTCACTGGCCCTGCACAGCCGCTGTTGGGGGAGCCCCACTCTACCCTGGCACACTGAGAAAGCAGCTCTGTGGGCCACAGAGAGCACCAGAGCCACCTCAGCATCCCCAGCCTGTACCTCGGGGCCCAGCATGGCAGCGGGGTCCGTGATGGTCAGCATGACCTCGTTCACCAGCTCCATGGGGATGTCTCCCATGACACGGATCCGCTTGGCATCCTCCAGTGTCAGGCTCTCGGGCAGCTTCCGCTTCTCCCCTGGGAGCAGAGCAGAGCGGCACATCCAGTACCAGGAGGGACCAGGGACCGTTCCAGCTCTGTGACACAGGCTCACGCTGGTCCTACCTGGCAGGGGCTCCGGTGCACTGGCATCCAGGCTGGCGGCCGAGCTGCTGCTGCTGAGCTTCTTGCTGAAGAGCGGAGTGGTGGGCACGGCAACAGTGCTGACCGCAGCTGGAACAGACCCATGGTGCCCGTGACAGCCAGAAAGCACCTCGTCACACCATGGCAGCCCAGCCACTGCCACCACCATGGCTCACCCACATCTCAGCCCTTTAGCCCACAGCCACCAAACAGAGGGGCTGCTCCCCAGAATACCTGGGCGAGACACCAGCTGGGCACCCTCTGTGGCTGGCACTGTGAAATCAGCCTCCCAGATCGGAGAGTTCTCACCGTAGATCTCCTCCTCCAGCATGGAGAGGAACCTGGTAGGGAGTGGCACATTGGTGTGCAGGGGGCCCAAGGGAGGAGCCCCCTCAGTACTCCAGCAGCCATCCCCACATGGGGCACCTACTTGGGGAAGTGGGTGAGGATCAGCGTCCGCTTCTCTGGCACCAGCTTGTCCTTCTCCACACGGAACTTCTCCAGCAGCTGCCGGCGGGTGACCGTGAAGATGGACTTAAGGAGGCTGCGCCCGAAGACGTGGGTGGTCTCGTAGCGGGGCAGGCTGTCACAGCTCTGTGGCACGTGGCAGTAGCACAGCCACCTATGGGACAAGAAGGGGCTCCAGTGACCAGAGACTCCAAACCATCCATATCCCTCCTAGGACAAAGCTGCCAGGAGGGGAGCAGGGGGATGGAGAGCATGGCTGACATTTCGAAGCAGTGTCCCCACCAGATGCTGGCTCTCCTAAGGGACCAACAATCTGGGAGAGCTGGGGAGAGTCCCAGAGTCAGACCCCAGGGTGGCTGGCTCAGCACCCTCCCTGTCCTCACCTGGTGTAGTTGACTTTGTAGGTGGCCACGTCGTCGTTCTGGGAGCGCTGACGGAACTGGGACGGCGTTTCCAGCTTCCAGTAGTTGAGGCAGAGGAGGAACATCTTGGAGAGCTCGTACATCGTCTGGCGCTCCTTGGGCGGCAAGTGGCTGAACTTGTACTGCACAAAGTTCAGGACTCCCTGGGGAGGGGATGGGGTGGTGGGAGGGTGCCAGGGACTGCTCCGGGCCCTTCTGTGCTGCCTCCCAAAAAGCGAGGGGACCATGCAAGAGCAGCAGAACACAGTACAAGCTATCAGGGCAGTGCACAAGCCTGACAGCAGACTCACCTGCTCAATGTTTGGTTTCTCAAAGGGAGGGCTCCCCAGGGACCCCTCGACCACAGGCTGGCTCATCTGCAGGATGCACTTTCGCAGCAGCTACAAAGACACCACATGGTCACCACAGGCCCAGGAACTGGCTGCTCCAGCAGTGGTGGAAATGGCCAAACACTGCCACAGGGTTGCTTTGATTTTCACAGCCAGGAAGGCACCAGGGTCCTCCTTGGAGCATGCTCGTTCATTCCCTAGAAACCCCCCTCCCAGGAAATTCCAGGCCAGGAGAGCAGTCGCTCCAGGTGGTCAGCATCCCAGGTCTCTGGCTGGGCTGTGGGACAGCTCACAGCCACAGCTCCAGGCCCAGCAGAGCACGAGCAGTGTGACAGCAGCCCCAGCTCCCCTGCAATACCCAGGGACCCTGCACAAGCCCCCCTGGGGGTGGGGCAGTGAGACGTGCCCAGCCCCGGACACACCTTGAACAGGTAGAAATACACCTGCTTGGTGTCCGTGTCCTCTTCCTTGTGCACTGACATGAAGAGGTTCTCCACATCCACCACCATGCCCAGCAGACGGTTGATCTCCTCCTCTGAGACGTTCTCCAGGTGGGACACGTGGTCCGCTGTGCCGGAGAGAAAGCCATGGTGAGACTGGGGGGGTCAGCACCTCTGCCCCGCCCGGGGGTCCCACTGTGGTTACCCAATGTGTGGCCGCAGCTCCGGCAGGGCTCGCTCAGGTTGGTCACTGGCTGCTGCAGGTCCATGCGGGGGGCTGTGGGGGGGTTGGGGTTCTTCCAGCCATTGCACTTGCAGGCGTCGTTGGCCTGGGATGAGGGACAGGAGTGGCCGTCACAGTGGCTGCCACGTGCCGAGGCAGCCGCCTTCTCGGGCCAAATGATTTCCCTGGTTCCCACTTAGCCCTGTTGACCCACATCAGCTTTTCTCAGCCCTCACCCGGCATCCCCACCACTCCGACACTTCCCTGCGTGCAGCCCCAGGACCCTGCAGTGCCTGCCCAGGGACGTGTCCCTGCATCTCCCTCAGACAACTGAGCGCCCTCCGCCTGCAATCCCTGCCCATGCACAGCCCAGCACTCCCTCCTGTACCCCATGTGCGGCCCAGCACCCGCTCCTGCACCCCTTGCACCCACCCTCCTGCACCCCTAAGCCCCCCTCCTGCATCCTATACCCACAGACGTCTTTGCACCCCCGCCTGCATCCCCCACCCAGGTCAGCACCCTCCTCCTGCATCCTCCACCCATGCCCAGCCTTGAACCCCCCACTCCTACATCCCCTGTACCGCCCACCCATGCCCGTGCTTGCATCCCCCCTCCTGCGCCCCCTGCGCCCCTCTCCTGCATCCCCCACCCACCCACCGCCCCCTGCCCCCCCGGTCCCCGGGGCCCCCCACCTTGCAAGCCGAGAAGACCCCCAGCTTCTCCAGCTTCTTCCCGCGGGGGAACCCCCGCACCTGCGCCTTGCGCTGGCTCGCCCGCTGCTGCTGGCTCAACCCGGGCCGGGCCGGGTCGCTGGACCCCGCTCCTCCCGCCGCTACGCCGCTTCCCCCCGCCGCTGCCGCCGTTCCCGTGCCCGGACCCGGCGGGGGCCGCCCGGGCTGCGCGGCCTCCGGCTCCGCCATGCCGGGCCCGGCGTGCGCCCCGCGCTCACTGCGCCTGCGCGCCGGGCACGCCGGGAGCCGTAGTCCGCTGAGGCGGCGGAGGTGGGGCCGGGGCTCCCGGGCCGGGCCTCCCGGGGCCGCTTCACATCACCTGCAGCCCCGGGAGGGAGCGGAGCAGAGATCCCGCCCGGGTTTGCGGACGGCGTTAACCGGCCAAGGAGGATCAAGGTCCCGCCGCGACGACCCACGGCGACAGCCTGTGCCGGGGCGGTGCCGAGCCATCGGTGCCCAGAGAAGCGCCCCGGTCCCTCCAGTAACCGGTACCGATCCCGGTCCGGCGGCGCACGACCCCGCGGACCCCTCCAAATATGGAGTGTGCTCACGCCCCCTCTAAATATGCTATATGACCCCTCTCCTCCAAATATGGAGCGTGGCCACGCCCTCTCTAAATGTGCTATATGACCCCGCTCTCTTCTCCATATATGGATGTGGTCACGCCCTCTGTCCCTCGCTGCCACTCGGGGAGTGGCCAAACGCCCGGTATGGTTGTGGCCGCGCCCCTAATGATGTAATGAGGTGGCCCCGCCCCGTGGTCCTTTTTGGGAGGTCACGCCCATTCCCGGGGGCGGGGCCTGGAGGGGCGGGGTCTGGCGCCGGGACGAGCCGCGGGCAGCACCTGGAAGGTGCCAGCAAGGGAGGGGGGGGGCCGGCCCGGGGGGTGCGGGCACCGCACGGCACGTGGCCCAGCAGGCACCGCACCAGAATGTTCCCGAAGACGCTGGTCAGGTGTCCGAAGGCTGCCCAGGGGGATGCTCAGGACCTCCCGGGCATTCTCAGCACCGCGCACGGGCTGGAAACCCCTTGCCCCACCTCCTCTGCCAGGGCGGGGCTGGGGAGAGGTGCCAGGGACATGCCCTGTGCCAGCACAGCCCCACTTCCCACCCTAACATCCCGCTGCGTGAGTAGAGGCAGGAGCATTGCAAAGCACAGGGCTGGGCAAGACCGGAAACACAGAAATCACGCAAATAAAAGTCAGGAATATTTATTACATATAAAAAAGCTGCATGTTCTGGGCAGACACCACCCCCGGGGCCATCATGCAGTCCCAGCACGGTCCCGCTCTGTGGTCAGTAGCTGCCCCATCTGCCAGGCTCAGCCCGGCCCCTGCCGCTCCCCATCACGCCTTGGCCCGTTCGGCTCCATCATCAGCGCTGGCTGCTACCTGTGCCACCGCCGGCCCCATCTGGATGGGCACGTTCCTCTCCGGAGCAGCCGGCAGGGCCAGCTTGGGGGCCTCGATGCGGAGCTGCCCGTCCTTCGACAGGGAGCAGGTCAGCGCCTCGGCGTCCACCTCCTCGGGCACGTCCCACTCCCGCTTCAGCACCTCGTACTTGTAGGAGAAGGAGCCCTTCTCATCCGTGCTCTGCGTCTCCTTCTGCCCCACCAGCACCACCTTCCTGCCCACCACCTTCACCGACAGCTGCTCGGGCGCAAAGTCCTTCACGTCCTGGCAGACGGAGAAGCCGTCCCCGGAGCCCTGGGTCAGGGCTGCGCTGGTGCTCGGGGCGATGCCAACCCGCCCGGGGCTGCTCCCAGTGCTCAGGTACTGCTCGACGCTGCTCATGAACTCCCGAGCCCTTTCCATCTCCAGCCGCATCTCCCGCTCCAGCTCGGCGAAGAGGGTGCCTGGATGAGGCCAGAGGGTGCGGACGGGTCCCAGCCACGGGAACAGCGAGCTGGACATGGGCGGCATGAAGTGCAGGCGGCAAAGCATCTCTGCTCCTGGCAAGTGCTCCGGCTGTGCTGTGGCTCTGCTCGGTGCAGCGGCTGGAGCGGTGCTGGGTTGGGGCCAGGGAGCAGCGGGTTTTATGCTCCCCTGCCCAGGGGTGTGCCCCTTCCAGAACGCTCTCTCCCCACGCACCCTCCTGGAGCCATCGCCTATTTTTGAGAGGCTGATTATCCACCAGCCAAAATAGCTGTGCCTGTTTCTGGGGACGAGTCACACGCCGCAAATAGGGAGCTGCAATCACCACTGGGAGCTCGGGTTTCTGCAGAGCCACCGTGATGCAGCAGCACCCACGGGCCCCCAGAGCTCTTCACCGGCCCCCATGCTGGGGGCTTGGTGGGGCCAGGCTTTGCAGTATCAGGATCACATCCCTTTGGCCAGTACAGGGACAATCCCACCTCTAAAACAACGTGTCCCTTGTCACCCTCTGCCAGACATCTCTCACACTTTCTAGAACCCCCCCGTCCTGTCCTGCCACAACCCCTCAGCACCCCATTGTGCACCCTGGCTCGTGGTCTCACCTGGAGGGACCTCCCTGAGCACTGAGGGTCCTGCAAATGGGGAAGGGGGCAGAGGGGCTCTCCTGTCTGCAGATGGGGGAAATGGGCCCCAGGTAAGGGTGGGAGGAAACAAGCCCAGCCCTGCTCCCTGCCTGGGAAATGGAAAGGGCACAGATTTTTGGCAGGGGTGGCTCAGGCATCCCACACAGAGGCTGAGGTGATGCTGCTAATTATAAGCCAGGAGAGCAGAGGTGCAAGAGTCAGGGCGAAGGTATGCCGGGCACGACGTCAGCAGCGCCTCTCCTCACGGATGAGTAACAAGAATGAGCTGGAACGGGCTGGAAAGAGCTGAGCTCTTCTCCCGAGGGTGACGTAATTTTCGGGACGAGGCCACGCCTCCAACGAACGGGAATAAAAGGCTCCGCCGGCAGCAGCGGGGCAGAACGCTTCCAGCCCACTGGAGAGGGGAAAGAAGCAGCAGCAACAGCAGCAACAACAGCAGCAGCAGCGATGCTTTGCCGGATGCACCTCGCACCATTCGCCTCCAGCTCCCTGGCCAGCCGTCTGGGCACGGTGAGGACCCTCTGGCCACACGCAGAGACCATCTTCACTGAGCTGCAGCAGGAGATGGAGAAAGCTCGGGAGTTCATGAGCAGCTTCGAGCAGCTTCTGAGCAACCACGGAGCCATCGCAGCGGAGCGAGCCCCGAGCACCAGCACGACCCTGGCCCAGTGCTCCGGGGACGGCTTCTCCGTCTGCCAGGATGTGAAGAACTTCGCTCCCGAGCAGCTGTCGGTGAAGGTGGTGGGCAGGAAGGTGGTGCTGGTGGGGCAGAAGGAGACGCAGAACGTCGACGAGAAGGGCTCCTTCTCCTACAAGTACGAGGTGCTGAAGCGGGAGTGGGACGTGCCCGAGGAGGTGGACGCCGAGGCGCTGACCTGCTCCCTGTCGAAGGACGGGCAGCTCCGCATCGAGGCCCCCAAGCTGGCCCTGCCGGCTGCTCCAGAGAGGAATGTGCCCATCCAGGTCAGCCCTGCAGCCCCACAGCCTGGACCAGCCTCTGAGGATGGAGCTGCCAACAAAGCCCAGGTGTAACTGGATGGGACCCCATGGCCACGGCAGGACTGGAGCAGACAGGAGCAAGTCTTGGGTTTAAGCCCAGACAAGCTCCATCAGCAATGATGTCATTTTTTTCACTGGAATGTTTTTGTATCCAATAAAAATACTTTTGCATAGAACCTTCATGTTATCTCTGGGTGTTGATTGATGGGGAGGTTGCACCCTGCTCTTGCCTCTGGATGCAGAGAGGGAAAAGCCTCTCTTGCTTCTCAGGGCAGCACAAAATGGGGTTGACAGCAGACCCAGAGGGAGGGAAGGGATCTGGGAACTCTGTGCTGCTTGGGGAGAGGGGTAGGCAGGAAGGTCCCAGGCAGGGAGACAGCCCCACTCACCTGTACCACACTCACCCCTTCCTTACACTGCTGTCAGCATCCGCTCCAGCTCCACAGCCCTGGCCAGTGCCACAGAATGGTGAGAGAACCACTCTGGATGGCCTGGCTGGGTGTGGGTACAGCTATTGTACCCACACTTTCCCCCCACAGCTTGGTGAGGGGCTGCTGGAGCCCTCCTGAGCTCTCAGCAGCAGGGAGGGGAAAGCCCAACCCCAGGCACGGTGCGTAAGCACCACAAACGCCTGCGCTCAGGCCCGGGCAGGCAGCAGGTATGTGGGGCAGGCACACCTGTTTATGCTAAAGCTGCTCCCACATCAGACAGCCCATTCCAGAGACATACCAGGAACAGCAGTGGGTCCCCAGCCCCAATACTGAGCCCCTGCTCCTGCAGCAGTGAGATCCTCCTTAGGGCACTGCCAGCATCTTCACAGAGACTAGACCCCAAGTCCTGGAAGGAGCCAGGAAGAGGAGCCAGCAGATGGCAACAGCACTGCAGTGTCTGTAGGATTGTTCCAAGTGGGATCAGGGAAGCCATTCTCCTACAGGTCCAACTGTGGCTGCCTGGGGAAACCAGTAGCACTAGTCCCCACTCAATCTGTAAGCACCAAGAGCTCAGGGATCCCCCAGAGTTTGTGAGCTCCTCCAGCAGCTGAGCAGCCCAGGCACAAGCAGCACCAGGTGAGTGAACCCCACTGGGGGGGGCCACCAGAGCTCCCATCTCCAAGCCAGACTCCAGTATGATGCTGGGAACTCAGTCACCAAGTCATTCCAGACCCTTTCTGCTTCCAGGATTTTAAAGAAATGCAGCATGAGGAAGAGGTACCGAGACCTTGGATAGAGGATGGAGCTCACATGAGCCAGGGCTGTTCACACAACTCTATTCACAGCTCTCCTGCAGCTGAGCAGCAGCAAACCCACAGCTGAGAAAGGGGGGGGCAGCAGGTTCCAGGTGCAGCACATCTCCATCCTCAGCCTCTCCCAGCAGGAATGGTGCAGCACACGTGCTAGGGGTGGAGCTGCAAGGGGCTGCTCCATCTTCCATATTGACTCCAGGTCAGTGGGTGTCAGGGTCTCACAGTCCATGCAGCAGCAACAGCAGAGCAGCATCTTCCAAGGCCATAATGCTCCAGGGACAGAGGCATTGTGTTCATTAATTCTGGAGCAGCATTCCCAAGCCTGTCCCACCACGGAGCTGAGCTCCTCCACACACTGCTCCCCCTACCTCTTCACAGCTTGCACTGCAGAGTTTCCCCAGAACTATCAGGTAAGGAATAATTCCCACTATTTGCCTTAAGCTTCCTTGAGCACACTGAAGCCGAGTGAACACCAGCAGCATCACTGTGAGCAGGAGCAGCAGCACAGCCCCAGCTCAGGAGCTCCATTTTTCCCTCCCCAGGAAGCAAAGTCCCCATTTCCCTACAAAGATGTGGGACATACCAGGAGCAGCCCAGCACACCTCAGCCTCCAGCAGAACTGTTGTGCTCAGGTCCAGTCCCTGCTGCATTAAGAAACATGAACATTGTTGTTATGGTAGGTTTATAAAAATTTTGTTTTAATCACACAAAACTGAAGTTTGTGGTGAAGACTAAGTTGACAGTTCCTCTTAAATACCAGGATGCATAAGACACTGCATTAGGCACTAGGCAGCAGCCAACATCAGTTAGAGTCTGGCAACAGAAGCCATTTAATACCTCCCTTCATTCTTTGTGGAATTACAGGCTTTTGCAATACACGTCGTTCCCACTGACAGGTTACCCGAGGTTTCCCCCACCCCACCTCTGTACATCAGTAAACCTTGTGTATTCCCACCAGAGCAGGGTTAACAACATTAGTGGCATCACAACCATCAAGAAAAGGACAATTTTCTATACAAGATCTTTTGCAAAAATTGCAACAGGATTAGTGCATTACGACAGAACAGAGAGAAAAGAAGAGTTGGCATGCTGGAGTCCAACACAAAGAAAGACAACAGGCAGCTCGTTGGATGTACTATATTGACAAGATACTGATTGGTTACATGGAGAAACATACAATACAAAATACAGAAGAAACCAGTTTTGCTTCCCTCTGCCCCACCCCGAATACTCATCACTGATTTGGTCAATAAGTGGCCCAAGAGCCGGAGTTTGTCTCTAATGCTACAGTTTAGTGGTTGTTCTGGGCACATCGTACGGGATCAGCCTCAGCTCTTACAGACAGGGAACTTTAAACACGTGTCCCAATATCCCTTTGTTTCCCATAGTGAACTACAGTGCTGTGGGACCTGGGTGCTGCTGGCCTCACCCGCGGGACGGCCGCGCTGGCTGGGCAGACACCGGGTCCTGCATCCACCACCACCAGGAAGAGGGAAGAGCAGAAGTTCATATATTAAAAAAGTGACTTAAGACTTAGAATTGAATTAGTATTTGTACAGAAAGGTGCAGGTGGAAGAACTCCCTCCAGCCTATGATCAGAAAGGGATGGAGAATCACAGCGGCGCCGGCAGCGGCCGCCCTACGGTAAGTGCGATCGTTAGCATGGGTTCCAGTCACGTCCTCTGAGGGCTCACGGGCCGGAGCAGCTGCTCAGTTGCTGCAGCACTGGCTCCTGCTCGGCTGGCTGCTCTCCTGAAGGTCCACCACCCGATTCCTGCCTGGGCCACCAGGAGCATTCTGGGGTTCATTTTTTGGCAGTTTCTTGGCTAGAAGGAAGCAGGGCATTAGGAGGGTCCTCTACAGAGGCCAACCGCCTCCCACTGCACCCCCCATACTGGGCTCTGCCTGTTCCATCCCAAGTCCCCACCTCCAAAGGAGTCTGGGACATGACACTGCCAGCAACACTGCACGGCAAACCAGCCCACTCCTGATTCTGGCTGGCATTAGCTCTGCTCCCTCCTCTCTCACCAGCCCAGACCCAGAGAGAGGGACCCAGTTTTGCAAGGCAAAGACTCCACACACTCAGAGGGTGACACTAGTGTGGCAAACTGGACATCTTCCCCAGTAAGAGGCAGCAGCCCCTGGGTGACATAGGACCCCCCCTGAGCTGCACTGCTGGCACTCAGAGCTATCCCAGCCCTGCACACAGGCCATTACCTATTGCCATGAAGATTTCATTCACATTCATCGCTGTCTTTGCCGACGTCTCCATGAACAGCAAGCTGTTGTCATCTGCATACGTCTGTGCATCCTACAAACAATCACATCAGAGTGCTAAAGGCACCCTGCCAGGAAACCCAAGCAGGCTTCACGCACTTCAGTTGTCAGCAAACTAACAGCCAGATTAACACTGTCCCACCCTGGGCCAGAGACTGCCACCCCAGTCCCTGTCTGGCCAGGACAGCTCAGAGACAGGCTCTGCTGGCAGCCCTGCACAGCCAAGCTGGGGCACAGCCTGACTGAGCCACACACAGACACAGTGCCTGGTGTTCACTCAGCTGGGAGGATGTCACCCACTGCAAGGGCACAAGCAATCCTGTAAGAGGGCTGGGAAGAGCCTCTCCCGAACACTTGGCTTAGACGAGGCAAGAGCTGTGAAGAGCAGAGAACAAGCTGGGAATGATTCTTCATGTGTTTTGTACCCAGATGATAATGTTTCACACCCTGCAGACAGCCCCAGACGAGTAAGGCAGCAAAGGACACCAAGGACAGGAGCTTGTGCTCTGTGGGCTGCCTCCTCCTCCCTGTTCACCAGAACTGTCACCAGCCAGAACCACACGCGCTGTGACAGAAGTGTGGGAAGGGCAGGGCACAGCCCCCACTCAGGGGCATCCTGGGGTCCTGAGCACAGATCTTCACCTCCACTCTCCCTCAAAGCATTTCACACAGAGCCAACATCTCCCCCACTTAAGCAAAAAGCTGCTTTTGTGACCTACTCAGGTAACAAGTGCTCTGGATTCCCACTCACCTGGAAGTCCACAGCTCTCTTGGTAGCAAGGTCTGCCTTGTTTCCTGCTAGTGCAATGACAATATTGGGGCTAGCCTGCCTCTGCAACTCTTTCACCCAATTCTTGGCTCGTACAAATGTGTCCTGGAAGCAAACAGGAGGCAGCAGTCAGGAAGGGCAGCCATGTAGGAATCCACAGGGCAGATATGATTAGAACAAGGCTTTCCTGTGAGAAGTGTTCTGCCTCTGCAGCACTTGGCAGCAGGATCCTTTATCAGCTCACACAGCCTTGGCCAGAGCTGAGGAAGAGGCCATGAGCAGTTTTCAAGAACTCAGCACCTGCAGGCAGGAACCTGCAGAGCTCTGGCTCAAACACTCCCAGAGCTCCAGGAGTCTCCCCCCAGCCCAGGCCCCCAGCCCTGCCCACACTCACTGTGTTTGTGATGTCGTAGACCACGATGGCTGCCTGGGCCCCTCGGTAGTACATGGGGGCCAGGCTGTGGTACCGCTCCTGCCCTGCCGTGTCCCAGATCTCAAACTTCACTGTTGTGTCATCCAGACACACTGTCTGTGTTAGGAAGGCAGCTGCAAGAGAAGGTGGGGCCTTTTGCCTCAGCTCCAGCAGGACAGGCCCCAGAGCCAGCGCCGGGAGCTCAGAGCAGCTCTGCTGCTGCATGGGAGCGAGCAGAGCCCTGGAGAGGCCAGTGCCACTCACTGTGGCAGCTGTAGCTCTGCTGTGTGACACCTCCTGCTCACAGGAACCCAAGGGCCCACACACAGTGACAGGAAAGTGGCCCAGAGAGCCCAGACAGCAGCCGGCCCCCAGAGCAGCCGCAGGGCCAGACCCTCCCAGCAGCCCCTCACAGGGATCACACAGCCCGGCTGTGACACCACCACGATCAGAGCTGGGGAGCACCAGTGACAGCACCAAA